TTGTTACTCCTATTTTTCTATAAAGTGAAGATTTGTTTACCTACTTCTGATACATGCTCCGATAGAATAACTGTGTGCTGTTGAAAAAAGAAACATGATTATATAAAACAGTTGTTACAGTTGTAACACCCTTGCTCTTCCTTGTGTCTCTCAGATATGCCCCTCCACGTGCGGCGCAGCAGCGACCCCGCCCTGCTCACCGTCAACGGGCCCTTCAACGGCGGAGAATCACGAGTCCAAACCGAAGAGCCGCCGTCGAGGAAGAACCCGACTCGATGGTCTACCACCGCCGGGTTCCTGAAGGCTCGACACAACTCCGGCACCAACAGCCTGGAGAGAAAAGTACGTGTCAAAACCAGAGCTGGAGATGAGGATGATATTTGATTTAGTGATGGAGTTACAAGTCAAGTGCATACAAGTGCAGTGTCACAGGTACACAGAAGACAGTAAGGTGAATATACAAGAAAAGACAAATAAAAAAGGGTTAGCAGGGTTCTTACGGTCATTAAAAACCTGGAAAAGTCATGGAAATTCAAAATGCTAATTCCAGGCCCTGGAAAAGTTATGGAAAACAATTTTTTTCCTAAAGTTTTGGAAAAGTCATGGAAATGTAACTAAAGTTGCATCAAATATAATTTATATTTGAGCTAATCGCCGAAATAGTAATACTATAACGATAATAAATACTGTATCGTATAGTAATGAAACATAAAATGGAACTGCTGAGAGTAATCTTTTTGGTCATGGAAAATTAGGTAAAGGTCATGGAAAAGTCATTGAAAATCATTGGTGAGAACGTGTATGAACCCTGGATTAGACAACAAAAGAGAGTAATATATGACAAAATTATAATTAAAATGATAAGAGAGGTTTTAAAACCAGAGCTAGAGATGGGGCTCATTCAAATAGATGGGATTATGTTGAAGGAACCATTTGAAATTCAAGTCCACTATTTGATTTATACAGTACAGAAGCACTGGTGGGTTTATATACCTGTACTTCTTTCAAATTGGCACATTATCCTGTCTTTACAAACGGATAAATAGGGCTGAACGATTGGTCGAATGTTATCAAGATCGCAGTATGGACCATAGCATTTTGAAGGAAGTGTAGCAGAGTGGCTTTGATGTACCCAAATCTTATTCGACAGACTTAACACAACTTATGATTTTTGGTACAGATCTTCATAAGAAATAATAATGTACCTGTAATTATCATTAAAACACGATCAAACCTCAATATTGTGAATCAAATCCCAATTCCAATACCAGACAAAATAAAATCCCAATTATAATTTTTCTCCAAATTGTGCAGCGCTACTTTAAAGGGGACCTGTCATGCAAAATGCACTTTTGTACGTCTTTTCTACATGAATATGTGTCCCCGGTGTTCCAGGGAACTCACCAAGTGTCAGAAAACACAACCCTCTCTATTTTCCTCCATACCCAAATCTCTAAAAAAGGGGCTGCAACGGATCTGATAAAAACTGATCCAGATTTGAACACTGTCCTGACGTCAGGACGGTGGCGCTACGGCTATTGGGCCAACTCCACCAATCAGGAGGAGACAGCCACGGACATTGCCGTTCGAAAGCGCTGGAGACGCTGTAGTACATATGCCAGGCCTGTAGGTGGTGCTGTTCTCACAGAATCAGCCCTTGCAAAAACAGAGCTAAAAAATGTCAAATTGAGCAAAATGAGGCATGGCTAAAATGCATGATCTGTTTGGTATTTTGAAAAAAAAAAAAGTATAAATATGTCTCTTATAGGTATGGTCCTACACTATATTATTCAAATATAGCATGATAGGTCCACTTTAAGTACTCCAAAACTGGACTATTATACAACAACAACATTGGTATTAATTAAATACCTTTTTGTGTGTAATATATTTTGTATTGACATCTGGCAGCAAACAATTACACGGTGTTTTTTCTAGACATAGTAATTCTACATCTTAAGTTTGTCCGAAATGCCTTTTTCTTTTTTTACACAAAGATAAAATAAAAACAGTAAAAAGTACGAACAATACGAACATTAGGGAGTGATCAGGTCTTCACAGTAAAATCATACGTTTGTAAAATAAAATCTGGCCTATGAGGTTTTACGAAATCAGTCCACTTTCTCCATCGTGACACAAATAGCTCCAGTTTGTGATTGACAGATGATGTTATCCTCTCCATTTTGTAAATGTCCGTTGTAATATCCATCCATGCGTTTGAAGTTGGGCGATCTGGTGATAACCACTTCCTTGTAAGCGCTTTTTTTACTCGCCACCAGCAACAGATTTAATACATATTTGTCTTTTTAAAATGAAAGACCTTTTTTAATGAATGATGCGTGTCTTTGGTTTCAGGGCAAAGCTATGGACACGTACCGCAGTCTGCCTCGGGATGCTGGGACGTGGGCCAATCAGAGAGAGTTTCAGAGAGAGACCGCCCCGCTCATCGCTCAGCGCCAATCACCCCATGGTGGACCGCTGGCTGGAGAAACAGGAGCAGGTAGGACCGTGTTCACTTCTTAACTTTAGATACGATACGATAACACTTTAAAGGTCGGACATTTAACATAACGGCACAATCAGTGAGAGAAAACCTGCTCAAAGTACCGCACACAACTAAAAGACTATTGTTTTTGCTACGAGATTTTACCAGAGCACCCGTGTTCGAAAACTGTCTCGAAGCTTGTTCCTTGGCCATTAAATCTAACACAAAATAAGGGTGTGGCTCATTTGAAACCAATGCACCATCACTTGTCGTGGTTCAGTTTACTTCAAGTGAATATACCTGCAATGTGATTCATTTAGCTAACTCTAGACAAAGAGGTTGAAGTAGGAGAGGCTGAGATGTTGATGAGATTGTTACAAAACCCCACACTCACTACATCTCTCTGTTATGTATCTGTACATGAACGCCTCCTATCTCAAACTATCCAACATTCGTAGATTTACCGTCTGTCAGCCCTAAGCTCTGTGAAAGCCCGTCTGATTGGCCCGGGATCGAGTCCAGGGCCCCTCAATGTAGAACCTTAACAACGAGGAATTTCCACCACAAATCCACAATGACACATAAGTCATGGAGGGAGCGTAACATAATGTTGATACAGTAAATAGCATGAGCCACATACAGAACATATGGTCCTGTTTAAGGGGGGGGGGGGGGTTACTGCTGAGGTCATGCACTGTAAAGATTTGTATGAATATGATCATAAACGGTGATAACATATCATGACACACTTGCATGTTTCTGTTCTTACTTGGTGTTTGCAAAGCTTTTATTACAAAAGTATCACTTGCATATTATTAGTGATATCTTAAGTAAACATGAAGTGCGTCAAAGAGATGCATGAATCGCTATCTTATCTTTTCATGGGCTGTTGCTTTTGTCTGTCTAACATCTGTACCGTGTTAAGACATGTGCATCGCTTACTAGGGTTATCTAAATGTACTATTAGAGATAATAATATGACGTTTTTGTTTTGTGACACCCAAGCAAAGTAAAAGTGAATGCTGAACAAGACATGTTTTAGGCATTGAAAATGGTGCAATACATTTCATGAAGTGAAAACAGTGAATGGGATATAAAGGAAAACCAGACAACAATGTGGAAGCCACATGTCAATCACAAAGCATCCCCGCCCAAAAGCATACCCTGCTTTATTGTCTATTTTACTCAAAATGGGACAATAATTTGCAAAATTAACGTTATAATGTTTTCAAGAAGACTTATAACTATGGATTGAGACTACAAACTCATGATTAAAATGTTTTCTAAGGTAATAAATGAAAGTAGTGGGGCCATTTTCACAGATAGACTTCTATAGAATCTGACTTCAATTTGCAACTACACTGTTTGCCATTATAATGAAAGCATGTTTAAGGCACTTTTTCTTTTGCTTCAGATATCCCAGGCACTTATTGACTCTACTTGGTGCTATTTAACTTAAACTTGTTCCTATTTGTATTCCTATATTAGTTATTTCTCACAGTTTCTTCGGGTTAAAGGTACAGCGACTTCTCACCATTAGAGTGGAGCTGCACCATCTCCCTCTTACAGCAGCTTTCAGTGAGGGTTAAGTGGTGGAGGTCACTGCAGGGTGGTAATGACCTGCTGAAGGCCATGTGCCCTCCTCTGCTCTCACACACACACACACACACACACACACACACACACACACACACACACACACACACACACACACACACACACACACACACACACACACACACACATACACATACACATACACATACACATACACACACACACACCCCTCACTGTGACATGAACAGCTTCATCCATCTGTGTGTGTGTGTGTGTGTGTGTGTGTGTGCTTATTTAAAGTGGCTTCTCTAATGGTGAGAGACACATTAACAGAGTGGCATGTTGTGTTATCGTGCTCCATAAGTGCACAGGTGTTGTGTGTGTGTGTTTACATACACTCTGTGTGTGGCGGGACAGAACATGACCCAGTCAGAAATCCAAGTGACACAATTGTATTTCGTCTCATCAATGACACACACACACACACACACACACACACACACACACACATACACACACACACACACACACACACACACACACACACACACACACACACACACACACACAGGCTGTTGTTGTTGGCCATTGTAGAGAATCGTCCCGCTGTCACTGCTTTCTGTCTCTTTGATGTAAGCTCCACTTAGCTTTCTTTGTTCCAGGAAATATGTTGTAACTATTTTTTTTTTGTTGTTCCCCAGCTTTATGATCAAATGACAGAATGGATAAGATACACAGCATTAAGAAGAATCACTTTTGTTAGAAGCAAAAGTCTGTGTGCATTGACTATTATTGTTGTCAGAGTGCTCTCCGTCACAATATTTCATTCTGTTGGAATTTAGATGAATACCCAACCAGCGCGTTGTTGTCTTCTGTAAAGCGTTGATGCTTAAGGTTATCATCTGGGATGCAAAGCTGTCTAAATGCACCGGTCTGGATAGAAAAGAGGCTGCACTCAAAGTTGTTCTGCTTTTTGGGGTTATCCTTTTCTTGCAGTGAGTAATATAGGCTTTCTGTGCATGTCAACGGTCTACAAAGGCTACAACCCCAAAGTTAGACATCACTGTGTAACACTCGCGCTTCTATTGCTTAGCGCTCCAACACATTGTATGTGATAGACTAAGGGGCGGGACATCTATAAGCAGGTTGACCTATCACAATAGAGCCGGCCAGCTAACCAATCAGAGCTCTGGTTTCAGACAGAGGGTGAAAAGAGGTGCTGCAGCACAGGCAGTATGAGAAAAATAAAGAGCTTTTTGAACATTAAAGCATGGAGACATGTCCCAGTTCATGCATATTAAAATCCATACTGCTTCTGCATACGTTCTTCTGCAGTTCATTATAACACCACAACGAATTAGGCTTTAACACAATTAGCCTAGAGATCCGTTTTTGTATTAGTATAATAAACCTTTGTTAAAACAGAGCACTATGTGAATGAAGTATAGCACAGCCAGAATATAATATGCAGTGATTTCATTAGAATAGAGCAGCTGGGTGGGAATGATGAATTGACAATTTCCCCGAGTTTAGTTTCATCTTATCTCCCCGATGAAAAAAAACACACGGAACAGAGGAAAATGAAGAGTGAAATTTAGAATAGAGCGCCACATAATGAAGAAGGTCTATTTTACCCGTGTGGAGAATTAGATTTCTCTCATAACGTACAGAGCGTACCAGAGTGAGGCCAGATTGAATCGCATTAAAATGAATGAAACTGTTTCTCTGCTCCCAAGTGGGAAATTGTGCGAGTCGGCAGCACACAGCCACCATCAGACTGTGGTAGGTTGGAGCTGCGTTCATAAAGCCCCCCCCCCCCCCTCACACACACACACACACACACACACACACACACACACACACACACACACACACACACACACACACACACACACACACACACAGACTCACACACACTACATTCCCCTCTCCCCCCTTTGGCAACAGGTAGGGGGTCGCCATGGCAACAGCGAACTGTCAGTCGAGTGTGTATTAATGAGAGATGGTTGGAGGTGCTGAGGCTGCGGAGAAAATGGAGGTCTGTGTGTGTGCTTGCGTGCGTGTGTGTGTGTGTGTGAGAGTATATTCATGAGACAGGCGTGTGTGTGTGTTTCATTGTGTGTGTGTTACATTTTTTGTTACGGGCTTATGGCTTTGACTATCCATGTTTAATGTGTCAGATGTGAGCATGTGCCTAAGACATCCATGCAGACACAAACTTCATATCAGCAAATTAAAACACACACACGCACACACACACACGCACACACACGCACACGCACACACACGCGCACACACACACACACACACACACACACACACACACACACACACACACACACACACACACACACACACACACACACACACACACACACACACACACACACACACACACACACACACACTGCAGTCTTTCTTTATTCTCTTTGAAAAGTTATGATTTCTTTATACTTTTCACATATTCTTCCAGTTCCTATACAATCTGTGGATGAAAAGCACGATATATCTCAGATTCCAGGCTAGGAAAAAAACTCTATTAGACCCTTATACATAGTAACAATGTTGAAGACAAGGCTGCTATCCTGTAGTTCATGAAATGTTGATACGTTAGGACCAGGACCAGGGTTTTCACAGGGCAGCAGTGAGCGGTTTCATATGTTCACATTACACCTGGAGCTGATTCCCTGCTGTCTGACTACACACACCTTTACTGCTGATGTCTGCAGCCTGCAGCACTAACACACACAACCTGGACCCTATATACTGTATACTTGTGGCGCAGTGGGTTAGTGCGTTGGTGTTGGGATCAGGGGAGCACAGGTTCAAACCCCACTGCAGTCAGCATGTCGTTGTGTCCCTGAGACACTTCACCCCAAATTGCTCCTGTGGGGATTGTCCACAGTATTGAGTATGTAAGTCGCTTTGGATAAAAGCGTCTAACAAGTAACATGTAATATTAATCGTTGGATCATCCGTAAATAATTCGTCCAACATTTCCCTGCTTCATACTGTATGTGAATGCAACAAATGGAAATGTCTTAAACACAACCACATTCTTACGTCTTAAGGCCCAGACACACCAGGCCGTATTCGACCGTCTTGCGTTGTCTGGCGACAACGGGTTCCTTGTCGCCCAAAGTCAATTTGGTGTGTCCCGAACCCTCGGCCGTGACACGCCTTATTTGGCCTTTCACGGTCGACACCCGGCCGATTCAACATGTTGAATCGGCCATTTGTCGGACACAAGCTATCGGGCCAAGAAACCACTCTGATCAGCTGTTCAGCTAGCAAATGAGAAGCGAAACGGAAGTGAGGGACGTAAACAAACGATTTAAGGCACAAGACAGCAGCTAAACCCCAGCAGGTGATACTTAAAGACATCAAACATAGCCCTTAAATGTCCTCTCTTACCTCCCACACATAGCAGGGACATCTCTGATATCGGCGGGAGCGTC